GTACTCACTATAGAGTACCCCACTGCAGACTAGACAATTATAACATTCTGACAGATGGTTGTCTGCAGATGCTGTTAGAATCCCAGCCACTAGACCACTGGGATAAAAGGGCTTGTTTGTGTAGCGGGTAAGTGCGCCCATAACCCCCTAGGCCAACGTCCCTATAACCCTTCCCTAGGATCAATCGGGGATCACCAGTAGACCTCTGACACCCCCCGCACTGGGATGCCCGAAGTGCACACACCGAGATTCGAACCCAAGACCTTCGCTCTAATACCATGTCAGAATCCCAGCCACTAACCACTGGGATAAAAGGGCTTGTTAAATAGCGGGTCAGTGCGCCCATAACCCCCTTGGGCAACGAGCCTGTAACTCTTCCCTAGGATCAATCGGGGATCACCAGTAGACCTCTAATAGATGCAGCTTAGAGCTGCGCTGCTGTCGACTTTGAAGCTGAGAGGTGTGCAGCTTAGTCGATTTTGTGTTATATTTTTTTGTTTTATGTTTCATCCCATATCACCGTGCATTTCCTGCTGTGGTCTCCCATGTTTTGGCAGATAGTGGATGGAGTATCTTTTTGTTTTTGTCGGACTCCTCTCAGGTGGTTATTTACATTGATGCGTTGGCTTGGTTCTGTGAGAATGAGGAATGAAGAAGAGAGGGTTGCACTAGCAGCAGTTGGCATACATATAGGAAACCCTAATTGGGTTGTACTCGCTATAGAGTACCCCACTGCAGGCTAGACAATTATAACATTCTGACAGGTTCGCCTGCAGCTTGTAAGTGTATATGTATTCATGTTTTCACCCTGCATTATGGTTTTCTTACCTTTGTTTTCATTGTTCTTTTGGTGTTGGCACAGCTGCAAAAATCATGCATGGCACTGACGTTTACCTGTTAGTGCTAAGTTAGTATGCTGTTGTTTATACTAGTTTCGTAGACTAGGTTGGGTGTTTATTTTTGTATTTTAGCTCATTTTAATAAGTAATTGCTATTTAACGGCTGTTTATGGTGCTCAAATTTATACATTTTTTTATTTTAATGAAATTAGCAGCTCAATTTTCACGACTTTATAGTGGTTCTATTTTACACCTTAGAGAAGCTACTTTATTATGTATAACGTTCTTCATATGCACGTGTTATTCTAGCGAAAGTGAGTGAATTAATCTCATTACCAAATCCTGCTTCGATATTGTCACATATTAATCACAACAGATCTTTTTATTAGCATCGCCATTTTTTTGTGTGTATGTATCGGTGTTCGCGACAGTGTCGCGACATTCAACAAAATGATTATGCGCAACCAATCAAAAACTACCCACGCCCAATGTATCCCAGCCAGGTTTCCTTGGTGTGTTCGCCGAGATTTTACAAACCATTTATGCATGTCAAAATCACGAGGAAAAGTTTAGAAGCGGAAAAGAGGGTTGCACTAGCAAGCAGTTGAGTACATATAGGAAACCCTAGATTGGGCTGTACTCGCTATAGAGTACCCCACTGTAGGCTATACAAATACAACATTCTGACACACCCCCATAGCCAAAGTGGGGTGTAAACAGCAGAGCACGCAATCATAGAGCAAGTTCACAATTGCAAGCAAAGCTAGAGGCTATCATAGAGGGCAAGTGAGGAGGAGGAGAGACTGTGGGGGCGAGAAGATGGAGGCGACTGTTGAAGCTGCAGACACACAGGAGCTGCTGGCTCAGTGGCTACCGAAGCAAGGGCCCGGACTACAGGAGTAACTGGCTCCGCGGAGATTGTAGCCTCCTGACTGGAGCAACTGACCCACAGGCGACTGGCGCCTACCGGAGATCGTAGCCTCCTGACTACTAGCGCTGCTAACGACACGACGGCTGCCTCCACTCAACCTCCCCCAGCTGCCCCACGCCCCTATCACACACCCCCTGCTGCACCCCTAGCTCCACTCCCACGACACCCCCCTAGCACCACTCCTTCGGCTCCCACACACCCACCCCCCTGAGCGGCAGCTGCAGCAGCGGGAGACGGAGGAGGAGGAGGAGGAGGAGGAGTAGGGGACGGCGCACACAACCGGCACCCTCACAACCGCCACCCCCACACTCCCCACCCCCAAACCCTAAAACGGGTGGCAGGGGGTAGGAATGCGGGGGACGGCTAGGGGGACGGTGCGCGGCCCCCAGGGCGCCACCACGGGGCAGCGAGGGGCCGCGCGCGGCTCCTCAAGGCGCCGCGACGAGGTAGCGGGGGGTCGCGCGCGGCTCCTCAGAGCGCCACGACGTGACGGCAGGGGCCACGCGCGCCTTGCCCGGGCGCCGCGACAGGACGGTAGGGGCCGCGCGCGACACCCTAGGGCGTCGCAACGGACGGGCGGGGGGCGCGCGCGGCTCCCTAGGGTGCCGCGACGAAATAGCGGGGGCGGCGCGCCAGGAAGGAAAGGGGCCGGGCGCCCCGGGGCGCGCGCCAAAGAGTAAAATAGGTCGCACGCCACGGGGTGTGCGACAGATCAAGTAGCAGCGGAAGCAGGTTGGTGGGCCCATAGGCCAAGGAAGGGCACACTCTGATACCATGTCAGAATCACGAGGAAAAGTTTAAAGGCAGAAAAGAGGGATGCACTAGCAAGCAGTTGAGTACATATAGGAAACCCTAGATTGGGTTGTACTCGCTATAGAGTACCCCACTGCAGGCTAGACAAATACAACATTCTGACAGTGCAGGCTCGGCAGCCATTCATTCGCCCAACCGAAAACCAACCGGGCGCTAGATGCCACTAGGATAGAAAACCAATCGCCAAAACCAGGCAAATGTCTGGACCCGAAAACCACTCGCCAGCAAGTGGTTTCCCAACCGATCGCGGGACCCCCAAAATTCCCGATGCCAGCACCCCCAGAACCACGACCTCCAGGGTCAGTAACCACCACTTCAGCACCCCCCAAACTAGCACCCCTTGTGCCAACACCTCCAGCTCCCGCACCCCCCGGAATAGCACCTCCAGTGCCAGCACCTCCAACTATAGCACCCCCAAGACGAGCACCCCAGAATGAGCACCCCCAAAACGAGCACCTCAAGTGCCAGCACCTCCAGCTCCGACACCCCGTGAGTCCACTGCAGTCTGTCGCAGTTGTGCCGAAGGTTGCTGAGGTGACTGTGAGGAGGACTGTGAGGAGAACTGTGGGGAGGGAGACGACACTAACGAGCTACCGAGGGGAGAGGAGTAGCGTGAGACACACTTGACGGGGCAGGACCTGGGGGGGGGCTGGGGTACCGCCGGAACGGGAGCAGGAGGAGGAGTGGGGGCTAGGAAAAGAGGAGGGGCGAGGAAAAGAGGAGGGGGAGGAACCGGGAGACCTCGACAGGGGTAGCGGGTATAGTAGGACACTGACTCGTCAAACCAGACGTCACGAGAGTCTAGGAGCCGGTAGAACGGCGGGTGGTAAAACTCAAACTCAGGAGAGTCCACCGGGAAACCATGGAAGGCATAGGGGATGGCACGAGCCGAGAGCTTGTCCGCAGAAGTATTGCGGACAAGCGCAAGGCTGCCTCAGACTCGAAACTCCGATACAATACTAGGGGACCCGGTCCAAAGACTGGTCAGCGAATCCCCTAGTTGTGAGACACGAGGCCAGAGGTTCAGCTGGTAGGCGCCATAGCGAACTGCATAGGGCCACAGAAAATGGAACGCACTATGATTATGGAGGTGTTGCCGATCTCCATGACCAAGCCAATGCGGCGCTCTTTTTTTTTTTTTTTTTTTGTGGTTTAAAAAAAACACTAATCAATTTTCAGAAGGCGCGACGAGGGTCGTTAAGTAAATTAAGCGTTACTTTTTTTAACTATATGCATATCACAAGGTTAGGTGCTACGCGTTTTATAAAAGCCTTATAAGATCGCCTTCTGCAAACGGTTCCGTTACCACCGAGGATTCTGAATGCAACTCGAACTCAAGGGCAGGGCAGTGAATGCCATCATCGTCTCGTCGCTGTGAACACAAGTTTGAGCCCCGTCCGATACTGTCACAAACGACAACCAGGGCCTATCCGTGTCGGCTTCGTCGCAGCCAATCAGCGCGTGGCGAATCATCGAAGGGTGAGGCAGGTGGGGCGCCGCGGCGTGAGGGAAGGAACATAAGCGGCGGGCGAGTGCGCCGGGAGGCGAGAGAGAGTGGGAGCGGAGAGGAGGCGAGAGAGAGTGGGAGCGGAGAGGTTGACAGGATTGAACGGCAGTTGGTGAGCCGTGTTGGTGAAGGGGCTGGTGTGGGCCGTACGGGGGAGGAGGCACGACGAGAGGTACAGGGCGTGCGGAAGCCGAAGCAAGCGGAAGGCAGGTTGGGGGCTGACGGCGGGTCAAAGCGGCAGCACGCAAGGCGTAAGGCGGAATCCGCACGGTGCAAGGCGCAAGGAGCAAGTCGCAAGGCGCAAGGCGCAAGGCTCAAAGGCGCAAGGTGATGGCAGGCGATTCGGGCGCGCAGGAGGTGGAAGTGCTGCTGCTGATGGCGGACAGGTGCGATGGGGTGGGGAGCCGGGTACTAGGGCTAGCCGTCGACCTCGCGTTAGGGTCAGGGTTAGGGTTAGATCTCGGGTTAGGATTTGTGTAAGCAATTTACGGTAATAATCATAGGAAGTGGAAGTGCTGCTGCTGATGGCGGACAGGTGGGGGGGTGGGGTAGCTGATAGTGCTAGCCCTCGGATTAGTGTCAGGGTTAGGATTCGATATCGGGTTAGGGTTTGTGTAAGCAATGCAGGGTAATGATTGTATGAAGTGGAAGTGCTGCTGCTGATGGCGGACAGGTGCGGCACGGGTGGGGGAGCCGGGTAGGGTTAATAAATGTGAAGCGGCTGAGGGAAGTAACTGCTCAAGGCGATGGTGCAAGGGGCAAGTGCAAGGCGTTGGGTTCGTGTAAGCTATTCAGGGTAATAGTAATAGGAGGTGGAAGTGCTGCTGCTGACGGCGGACAGGTGCAGTGGGGATGGGGAGCCGGGCAGGGCGAGACGTGAAGCGGCTGAGGGTGGTAAGTGCTCAAGGCGATGGCGCAAGGGGCAAGTGCAAGGCGATGGCGCAAGGGGCAAGTGCAAGGCGATGGCGCAAGGGGCAAGTGCAAGGCGATGGCGCAAGGGGCAAGTGCAAGGCGATGGCGCAAGGGGCAAGTGCAAGGCGATGGCGCAAGGGGCAAGTGCAAGGCGATGGCGCAAGGGGCAAGTGCAAGGCGATGGCGCAAGGGGAAAGTGCAAGGCGATGGCGCAAGGGGCAAGTGCAAGGCGATGGCGCAAGGGGCAAGTGCAAGGCGATGGCGCAAGGGGCAAGTGCAAGGCGATGGCGCAAGGGGCAAGTGCAAGGCGATGGCGCAAGGGGCAAGTGCAAGGCGATGGCGCAAGGGGCAAGTGCAAGGCGATGATGGGTAGGAATCTGATTCGGCCTGGCAGGAGGTGGGGGTGCTGATGCAGATGGCGCACAGGTACGGTGGGGAAGATGGGGGACACGGTAGGGATAGCGCTAGGGTTAGAGATTTGGTAGGAAGTTGTATTCAGCCTTGTACATGTATTGTAGCAACTTATGCTGGTACATTCGTGAGTCTCAGCTTATGGTTGGCTTGGCTGTTCAGGATGGTAACGAAGAGGGGGGAGTGTGTTTGAGTCGTCTTTGATTATAGGTGGGGAGGGTACTGTTGATGGCGAGTAAGTGAGAGGGGGTGAGGTGGACGAGGAGACACGTCTTGGGGGCGGCGACAGGGGCTAGTGAGTGGCGACAGGGGCTAGTGAGTGGCGACAGGGGCTAGTGAGTGGCGACAGGGGCTAGTGAGTGGCGACAGGGGCTAGTGAGTGGCGACAGGGACTAGTGAGTGGCGACAGGGACTAGTGAGTGGCGACAGGGACTAGTGAGTGGCGACAGGGACTAGTGAGTGGCGACAGGGACTAGTGAGTGGCGACAGGGACTAGTGAGTGGCGACAGGGACTAGTGAGTGGCGACATGGACAACAAAGAGAGGCGGTAGGTGATGGGACGCATGGCAAGGAGATGCGGGAAGGTAACTGCAGAAACCTTGTAAAATCTTCTCAACCCTCACCCCCTTTCGCTACTCCCTCTCACCCTGCCTCCCTTTCCCGTCCCCCTCGCATCTCTTCTTTCCTTTCTTGCTCGAGAGGACGAATTTCAAATCGATGTGACTTGCCTGACAGGTTGACTCAACACTCACCTCCCTTCGCTGTCGCTCTCTCCAATCCTTCACCACCCTCTTCAAGATCCAATCCAACCCTCTCTCTCCCCACTCCCTCCCCAAAAATTCTGTAATGTCGATCAGCACTCACCTCCATTCACTGCTGCTCACTACTCTCTCCATCCCGCCACCCTCTTCAAACCCCCTGTGTCGGGCGAGGCACCCTCTACTCTCCCCACTAACTCCCCTCTCCCAGCCAAGCATCTGAGCTAGCGTGAGTGAGTTTGAGACCTGAAAAAGCCTGTAATGTCAACCCAGCGCTCACCTTCCTTCGCTCTTGCTCTTTGCATCTTCACCCCCTGTTCCACCAACCCCATCCCTCCATCCCACTCTCCCCTTCCTCGTTTCTCTTCCAACTTCCTTTCCTTGATCCCAGCCGGGCGTGTGAGCTGGTGCGAGTGAGTGCGGGGCGGGAGGAGACGGCAGGGGGGGTGGCGCAACAGGTGCTACGAGATCAGGGCGTGGCGCTGGGCGCAGGGGGGACTGCATCGCTGGTGTTCAATGGGGTGGAGGTAAGAGCATTCGCTGGTTGAGTGCGGTGCAGTGGGTGGATATGTAGATACTGGGTAATGCGACAGTGGTGGAGGAAATGGCAGGGGGGGTGGTGCAGCAGGTGCTGCGGGATCACGGCGTGGCGCTGGCAGCAGGGGGGACTGCATTGCTGGTGTTCAATGGGGTGGAGGTAAGAGCTTTGGCTGGTGGAGTGCGGTGCAGTGTGGTGGTTATGAAGGCAACAGCAGGTGGTGTTGGCAGGAGGAGACGGCAGGGGGGGTGGCGCAGCAGGTGCTGCGGGATCAGGGCGTGGCGCTGGCAGCAGGGGGGACTGCATCGCTTGTGTTTAACGGGGTGGAGGTAAGAGCACTCAAAGCTGGTTGAGTGCGGTTCAGTGCGGTGCAGTATATTAGAGGTGGGTAGATATGAAGGTGCTGAGGGATCAGGGCGTGGCGCTGCAGCAGGGGGGGTGGCATCGCTGGTGTTCAATGGGGTGGAGGTAAGAACACTAGCTGTGTGTAGACATGAGCAAAAACACTAAGTTCAAGACGAACAGAACAGAACAGAACAGATTTTTTTTTTTATTTTTTTGCCAAAAATGTTCGGCCGAATATGTTCGATGCTCGTCTTGATTAAACATGTTCAGCGTTCGCGCCTTCTTTGGCAAAAAATCCCAAACATCGAACATGTTCGGGATTTTTTAGCTGTTACGCAAACACCTAAGTGCTCGCGGAAAAACCAGTGCGACATTGGCCGCGCTGGTTGGATATTCGATTTGAACTGCTGAAAGTTGGGAAATTCGACCGTGGATTGCCGGATTTCTCCAATCCAATGTGTGAAAGTACTCGAGCACGAGTGGATGACTAGCTTGTGGAATGGAATGAGCACCAGCCCTCTTGCTTGAACGACCACACCCTCTTCACTACCCGGTGCTGTTCTTTCCCTAGTTTTTTCCTCAGTTGAATGGCTGATCATCCTCTCCGTAACTCGCTGTTCATTTCTCAACCTCTCTTTACCCTTCTACCAGTTCGTATGACTAGGATTCCATACATGCTGCTCGATCCGGTTTCACACTCTGTCACCACTCCTTGAACCACTTCAAATCAGTCCCCACCGCTGTGCACCCTCTCGCTGTGTGCCTTTTGCAGCTGGATGAGCGCTCCACTCTTGGGCAGTGTGGCATTTGATGTGCTCCTCTGGTCATCACATCACAACCACTCTCCACCGCTTTGCTCCTCCCTTCCATGCCTGCCGTTTTCAGCTGGATGAGCGCTCCACTCTGGATCAGTGCGGCATTCGATGCGCTCCTCTATTCATCAAACCACATTGCTCTCAACCACTCTCCACCGCTTTGCACCTGTCTTTTCCTCTGACAGCTGGATGAACGCTCCACTCTGGACCAGTGCGGCATTCGATCCGCTTCAGGGCGAGAGAGGTGAGGGTCGTGGAGGGAGAGTGAGGTGAGAAGGTTGGGAAAGGGGACCACTGGACCCCTTCCCTGCTATAAACCACATGCTTTTCTGCTTTTTCCCTTCTTTCACTTAGTCTCCCTCCCTTCCACCGTCTGCATCCCCCCCCACTTCTCCCATCGCCACCCCTCCCACCCCTCCCACCCCTCGCGCCTGCCACACCCGCCCACCAGCTGGGTGCCTCGATTTCTTTTCCCCAACGCGTGGCACATGCAGTCTGTGCCCAGGAAACCGCCAGTCAAGGTAGGGCAGAGGTAGCCACAATGGTAACTCTTCAGTCAACTCAAAACTCACCTCATTCAACTTTAGAGTCACGTCAGCTCAATCAAGAGTCAGCTGGGTGCCTTGATTGCTCTTCCCCAACGCGTGGCAGATGCAGTCTGTGCCCAGGAAACCGCCAGTCAAGGTAGGGCGATAGTAACTACAATCGTAAGCAGAGGAGATGGAGCAGCAGCGGTGACAGGTAGCAGGTGGTGGATAAAAGGGACCAGCAGGGAAAATATGAGTTAAAACGCCAATTACATGAGCTGATAATGACCAGGGGTGGCTTTTCCCTGCCATGGGAAGTGAAGAAACACAGGGTGATTGGCGCTCGTTGCGATTTTTGACAAGTCTCATTCAGGCTATCGTTTAGGACAAACCCTCACTAACTCTTACTAATCCTTTCCCAACAGCTTTCTCACTCTTGGGAATCCGGATCTACTCATTTCTCATTTGTGGGGGTGGTGGCAAGGCATGGGGCATCACATCACGTGTGGGGGTGGTGGCAAGGCGTGGAGCATCACATCACGTGTGGGGGTGGTGGCAAGGCGTGGAGCATCACATCACGTGTGGGGGTGGTGGCAAGGCGTGGAGCATCACATCACGTGTGGGGGTGGTGGCAAGGCGTGGAGCATCACATCACGTGTGGGGGTGGTGGCAAGGCGTGGAGCATCACATCACGTGTGGGGGTGGTGGCAAGGCGTGGAGCATCACATCACGTGTGGGGGTGGTGGCAAGGCGTGGAGCATCACATCACGTGTGGGGGTGGTGGCAAGGCGTGGAGCATCACATCACGTGTGGGGGTGGTGGCAAGGCGTGGAGCATCACATCACGTGTGGGGGTGGTGGCAAGGCGTGGAGCATCACAACACGTGTGGGGGTGGTGGCAAGGCGTGGAGCATCACATCACGTGGGGGTGGTGGCAAGGCGTGGAGCATCACATCACCACAGCAGCTGCCTTCCTCCCAGCGCTCTTCCTTCTCAGTCTCTCCGTGCTTCCTTCCATCCCCATTTCCCCACCTCCATCCCCATTTCCCCACCTCCATCCCCATTTCCCCACCTCCATCCCCATTTCCCCACCTCCATCCCCATTTCCCCACCTCCATCCCCATTCCCCACCTCCATCCCCATTTCCCCACCTCCATCCCCATTCCCCACCTCCATCCCCATTTCCCCACCTCCATCCCCATTTCCCCACCTCCATCCCCATTCCCCACCTCCATCCCCATTTCCCCACCTCCATCCCCATTTCCCCACCTCCATCCCCATTTCCCCACCTCCATCCATCCCCATTTCCCCACCTCCATCCCCATTTCCCCACCTCCATCCCCATTTCCCCGCCTCCATCCCCATTTCCCCACCTCCATCCCCATTCCCCACCTCCATCCCCATTTCCCCACCTCCATCCCCATTTCCCCACCTCCATCCCCATTTCCCCACCTCCATCCTCATTTCCCCACCTCCATTTCCCCACCTCCATCCCCATTCCCCACCTCCATCCCCATTTCCCCACCTCCATCCCCATTCCCCACCTCCATCCCCAAATTCCCACCTCCAACCCCAATTCCCACTCCATCCCCATTTCCCCACCTCCATCCCCATTTCCCCACCTCCATCCCCATTCCCCACATCCATCCCCATTTTCCCACCTCCATCCCCATTTCCCCACCTCCATCCCCATTTCCCCACCTCCATCCCCATTCCCCACCTCCATCCCCATTCCCCACCTCCATCCCCATTTTCCCACCTCCATCCCCATTTCCCCACTTCCATCCCAATTTCCCCACCTCCACCCCCATTTCCCCACCTCCATCCCCATTTTCCCACCTCCATCCCCATTTCCCCACCTCCATCCCCATTTCCCCACCTCCATCCCCATTATCTCACACTCGCCTGACAGGTGACAGGCCCCGCATGACCAGTGGCAAGGCACAGAGCACCACCGCAGCCACTGCCTTCCAGCCTCTCTCTGCTCCATTGCCTCACCCACACTCCTCCTTCCATCTCCATTGCCTCACCCACACTCCTCCTTCCATCTCCATTGCCTCACCCACACTCCTCCTTCCATCTCCATTGCCTCACCCACACTCCTCCTTCCATCTCCATTGCCTCACCCACACTCCTCCTTCCATCTCCATTGCCTCACCCACACTCCTCCTTCCATCTCCATTGCCTCACCCACACTCCTCCTTCCATCTCCATTGCCTCACCCACACTCCTTCCATCTCCATTGCCTCACCCACACTCCTCCTTCCATCTCCATTGCCTCACCCACTTTCCTCCTTCCATCTCCATTGCCTCACCCACACTCCCTCTGACAGGTAACAGACCCCACATGTCAAGTGGCAAGGCACGAAGCACCACCGCAGCCACTGCTGTCCTCAGTGCTCTCACTACACCCAATCCCTCCCTGCTTCCTTCCATCCTCATTGCTTCACTCACACTCCTGTCAGCAGGTAACAGACCCCACGTGGCCAGTGGCAAGGCACGGAGCACCGCCGCAGCCGCTGCCGTCCTCAGTGCTCTCGCTCCTCACTCTGCCGTTCGACTCCGTCCCTGTCTGGGCGCTATTCCTCTGCCTCTTTGTTGCTGGCCTCTTCGCCCCGCAATAATTTTAGGCATGTGGAAATGAGCAGTCGTTTTTTATTCTTAGCCTCAAAGTATAATAAATCGTGAGATAACATGGCAAGCCAGTTCATTGCTTGTGAAGTAAGGGCATGTGAGATCAGCACGCCCAACTTTCGACCAAGTTTCTACGGGCTATTTGTCGCAAAAGTATATTGGCTTATGAGCTCGCTACTGTTTTGACGAAGCTTCTTACCATTCACGCTTTCAAGCTAGATCGCCATTGACCAGCAGGTGTTATAGGGAAAAAAATTGAATTTTCATTGTTTAAAATTATTCAAATAAATACTACTCGGTACCGCGACAGCCCCAGTAGCACAGTGGTAGTGCGTTCGCTTCGTAAGCGAAAGGTCCAGAGTTCAATCCTCTGCTGAGGCAGTGTTTTGCTCTTCTTGGTTTCACCCCTCCTACCCTAACACCAATTATGAATTTACATGTCATATATGTGAGAGCCTAACGCTCTTGGGAATCCATCCCCCAATAACGCTCTTTGGCTTCTATACTTACTGAATCTCTCTTTTGCCTTCATAGACCAACTTATAGGCGTACTCAAGGCAGCGGATAGAGGCAAAGTTAGCTACAGCAGCGACAAGAGCAAAGATGGGCGGAGGAGCAGTGGGGTCGGTAACGAGGGAGGAAAGGACACATGAGACTGAAAAGGGAGCGGCCCAGAGAACGGAGAGGAGACAGCAAGGGGCGATGGAGGAGGTGACAGGAAAACAGCGGGTGGCGAAGCACGAGAGACGCGAAAACGGAGGAGCATAGAGAGGACGCTAGGAATGGGAGACACTGAGCAAGCAGGAGAGGGACGACGGACCCAGTTGTGGGAGGGAGGAGTCGCGTCAGGAGACAAAGGAAGAGAGCTGTGAACGCAGGGGGAAGAAGAGCCAAAGACGAGACCCAGGGAGAAAACATGGGACCACAAACTGGGAGAGACGGTGGGGGAGGAGCCGGTGGTCGGTCAAGCGAGACAGAGGAAAGACCAAGAAGGCAAAGTGCAGACACAGGCGGCAGCCGCAACGGCTCGACTGCTGCGACGTCGGATGTCCCATGCCCGCGACTAAAGAAAGACCGAGAAGAAAAAGTGCACATATAGACGGCGACGGCGATGACGGCTACAAATGCGGCAACACCTGCGGCTGCTGCGGTGCCGGACGTCACGCGCCCGCGGCAGAAGAAAATCCAAGAAGGCAAAGTGCAGATACAGGCGGCGGAGGCGACAGCGACTGCTGCTGCGGCAATGGCTGCTGCTGCGGCAACTGCTGCTGTTGCGGCAACTGCTGCTGCTGCGGCAACAGCTGCGGCTGCGGCGGCGCCCGACATCACGCGCTCGTGGCACCCCCAAGACCAGTACTTCCCGCGGCAACACCAAAAATCAGCACTTCTAGCATCAGCATCCAACCCCCCCCAGAGCCGGCACTACAGGGTAGCACCCCAGAACTAGTATGGTGCCGACGAGAAACTGCGCTGGTGCCAGAACAGGCATGGAAGCTGTGAGGAGGAAAAGGCCTTCTTAAATGGTTACTAGTCATGAGACTTGGCTTGTAAATGGACCTCGTGCCAGTAACTGATGATGCCTTGCAACACCGAGGGTGGATGTGCGATCGGGCAAGGAATCAGGAGGAAGGGGGTGGAGGGGGCGATTGACTGTTGCAATAATCTCGTTTTACTTGTGCCGTACAACGTTACTCAGAGTGGATGACAAACGTATCGTTGCTGCTATGTCTACCACGCAAATTGGATCAACATGTCCCCATGTGTTTGACACTTCCACCATTGATAAGTCACCGCCGTATGGAATGAGGGCATAACTGCAGACCAAGCATGAAGATGCCTCCACAGCCCATCTAGCTTCCCTCTCTCCGTGACTATCAAACCACTCATAGTTGCTCAATTGCTGTATGTTACTCCATTGATGAACATAGAAGGGAGCATTCTCAATTAAATGGCCTCCATGCATACTATCCCTCCTTGCAATGCATGCATCACGGCAACCAATCTTGTCGCTGCACCCACTGTCGGCCTGCCCTTTACCCAGCCCAGTACGAGCAGGCCAGGGGTCCATCTGCCCTAACCAGCCCAATAGATATCCGTTTTCCCTCACTTCCAACCATGCAGCCACTGCTGCCTGCTCCCCGTCACTTCTGCACATACAGCTCCTGCTTCGCCACCGGGTATGACCTTGACGCCTCCCCGGGCTCGATCACAAAAATCTTTATGAAGCTCTCCAGCTTCTTCTCATGCCCCTTGTACCTCGTCGCCCCGCCGCTCGAGATGCCCTCTACCTGCGTACCGGGCGACGAGATGATCTGCCGCCAGAACACGAGCGCGCCAGGAACGCGCACCATGACATCGCGGCGGTCGTATGCGCAGCACTCGAGGTTCTCGATGGTGTGCACGAGGCACTCCGATTGGCCTCGCCCAGCATCATGGATTGGGAATGGAGTGTTGGCCCCGCCCTCGCTTGGGCGAGCCGACGTCCGGGTCGAATGTATGGGAGAAGCAACAGAGCGTACGTAGTGAGGGAGCTGCTCGATAGGCTTCGTCGAGCTGATCGCTGCGGTGCTGCCGTTGATCAGGGGAGCTCGACGGCCTTCTTCTGCGGGGCAGGTCGACGAGGTGGTCGTCGACTTGCACAGGACGGTCGCGAAGCAAAAGCCGTCGACCAGGGGAGCTCGACGGATACCGGGGACTGAGCTAGTCGACGGACGGGCCGTCAACCAGGAGAAGAAGCTGACAGTGCTGGTCGACGGAGGGGTCCGTCGACCAGGGTGCTCCTCGCCGGGAGCTGTGGTCAGGACGAGTGCAAGTCATCAGGTACATGAGGCAGCCAACTAGCTCTGGGTAAGGACCACTCGGCTCTACGGACTCGTTCGAAGGTGGAGCTGAGAGCAAGTGACCTGTAGCCAGAGGAGTCGCCTGTGCCGAGGACCAGGTGAAGCCAAGCGCTGAAGGACCTGCTGCACCATGTGCGACTGAGTCAGGGTGATGGTGCGGCGTGCTCTGTCCCGGGTGATCTGCAAGCCAAGGTAGCTGCGCAGTTCACCCAGGTCTGTGCACGTGTGTCTCTTCTGCAGCTCCGACTTCACCAGGGCGAGAGCCTCAGTGTCACCAGTGGCAAAGACCAAGTCGTCGACGTACACGAGGATGTAGAACGGCGGCAGCGAAGTGTCGGTGCGTAGTAGCAGCGACGGGTCAGCACTAGAAGGCGCAAACCCAAGAGCCGCAAGTGTAGTCCTCAGTGTGTCGTGCCACTGGCGTGACGCCTGGCGGAGACCGTAGACCGGCCGCCGGAGGCTCCACTGGGTACCAGGAGGGAACGACCCAGTGAAGCCAGGGGGGCAGCGCAGCCAGATCTCCTCGTGCAGGCTGCCCTGCAAGAAAGCTGTGCTGAAGTCAAGAGAGTGAAGCTCGTAGTCACGCTGAGCGGCAACGTGCAGCAGCACCCTAAGAGTGGTCATCTTCGGGGTGGGGGAGAAGGTCTGGAAGAAGTCTACTCCCTCTCGCTGACTGAAGCCTCGAGCAACGTAACGAGCCTTGAAGACAGGCGAAGAACATGGCGGCCCCTTCACCCTGAAAATCCACATGCCACTGACGATGTTCGCCCCAGGAGGGGGAACCTCGTCGACGTAAGTGCCAGTGGACTTCCAGGATGCCATCTCTACGTCCATGGCTGCCTGCCACTGAGAGGAGTACTCACCCGCGATCGCCTCATCGTAAGAGCGCGGGGTCGGGATGTCTGGTGCATCCTGGTCTCCCTCAGGTGCAATCAGCATGGACACGAGATGAGGTACAGCAGTGGCAAAGCACTCAAACTCCTCCTGCCTGTCCTCAAGGACTTCCGTGCCAAGAGCACACTCACCCCCGACGGACGGATGACAGACAGACTCAGACTCAGACTCAGCAACAAGACTCGCAGCGTAGTCTAGACGACGGTGAGCAGCAAAGTCGACAAGCTCAGCAACTAAGGCAGACGCAGCAGCTGACTCAAAAGAAGGGTCAGTGACAGCAGTGGCCAGGAGACGCGTGACAGTAGGACTAGCAGCACGAAGAGAGTCAGACTTCGGGTCAGCAAGGGCAGGAAGAGAGGACGCAGGAGGAGAAGGCAGCGGGACACGCTGTGGAGCAGTGGAAGGACGAAGCGTCATCTGGTGAGTGCCTGGGACAGCAGGAGGACGCTGACGCGGGACACGACGACCTGTGCGAGCAGCACGAACAGGTGACGCAGAACGAGACTCAGGCGACACAGGACGAGACTCGGGCTCACGACGCTCCGTAAGACCTCCTGTCGGACAAGTGTAGGGAGAAGGAGTAGGGAGTGGCGAGGCAGGCGGTAGCTGTGACAGCGACTGGACAGGCGGAGGACACTCTAAGGAGGGAGCAGGACAAGGAGGAGGCGGCTGACTAAGAACCTACTGAAGGAGGGGAACGAAGTACGGTTGTGGCTGTTTAGTGCCCCCAGAACCAGCAGAGACAGCACCAGAGCCTCCAGCAGCAGCTCCAACTCCCTCAGTACCACCAGCAGCTCCAGTACCTCCAGCAGCACCAGCAGCACCTCCAGAAGGCCCAGCACTAGTAGCACCTCCAGCAGCTCCAGTACCTCCAGCAGCAGAAGCACGAGCCGCACCACCAGCCCTAGTACCAGTAGCACCACCAGCACCTCCAGCAGCTCCAGTACCTCCAGCAGCACCAGCACCACCTGCAGCAGGACCAGCTCCAGCAGCTCTAGTAGCACCCCCAGTCCCAGCAGCTCCAGTACCGCCAGTACGAGCACCTCCAGGACCAGTGGCTCCAGCACCTCCAGCGCCAACCCTAGGGTCAGCAGCTACACCAACTCCATTAGGCCCAGCGTCCTCAACTCCAGCTCCAGTAGCACCTCCAGCGTCCAGAGCACCACGGCGGCGGCGATAGTACCGAGAGTACCACTCACGCAGCTGCTGGGAAGAGAGAGCGCCCCCTGGCGCAACACCCCCAGGCTCAGGACCTCCAGGCTCAGCACCCCCAGGCACAGCACCCCCAGGCTCAGTACCCCCAGGCTCAGCACCCGCAGTCTGCGCACCCCTAGGCTCAGCACCCGCAGTCTCCGCACCCCGAGGCTCAGCACCCCCAGTCTCAGTTCCCCCAGACCCAGCACCACCAGGCTCAACACGCTCATGCTCAGCACGCTCAGTACCTCGCGCAGGACCAGAGTCGACAGCTACCTCGACAGGCTCCACCGGGTCTACCTGGGAAACACTTAAGGGAGCAGGACCCTGAGGAGGCAGGGGGTCTACCAAAGCAGCACCTGGCATGAGGAAGAGCGGCGGAGGGGGGAGCGGAGCAGTGCGGTAGGGGAAGAGACGGTAGAAGAGGACCGACTCGTCAAACGTGACGTCCTGAGAGGGGAAGACACGGCGCGAGGTGGGGTGGTAAAACTGCCAGCCAGGAGCGTCAGGGACAAAGCCCTGGAAGACACAAGGAATGGCGCGGGAGGAGAGCTTGTCCACCCACGTATCGCGGACAAAGGCACAAGATCCCCAGACCCGAAACACAGACACATCGCCAACCTCTCCCGTCCAACGCAGTGTCGGCGAGGTCTCCGGAATGGAGACACGGGGCCAAAGGTTGAGCTGATGCGCGGCGTACCGGACCGCAAATAGCCACAGAAAATGGGGGGCAGCCGCATGGACCAAGGAGGTACGAGCGACCTCCATGACCAAGCCAATGCGGCGCTCAGCAACCCCATTCTGCTGAGGAGAGGCCAGAAGCGTGAACGTCTGGCGAATGCCCTCCCCCTGACAGAAGGTCTCCAAGAGGCCGGAGGAAAACTCACCACTTCTATCAGAGTGCAGTCGCAGGCTGGGAAGGTCCGTGTGAAAGCGCCTCTCCAGCTGGAGACGGGTAGCGCGGATCCAAGGGATCAAGACAGCAGGGGCCTCTCCCTTGGTGCGCAAGGGGAAGACCGTGGTGTAACGCGTGTAGTCGTCCACTACCAGCAGGAAGTAGCGCTCTCCACCCTGTCCACGGACGCGGGCTGGGCCCCACACGTCCATGTGAAGGGTCTGCAGAGGAGCCTCCGTCGGGGGAAACTCAGAGGAGTGAGGGGTGGCACG